AAATTTATTAGAATATATATATATATATATATATATATATATATATTTAAAATTTTATTGATATTTTTTAATATATGATTATCAATTTTCGTAAAAAATTCTTACATTTTCAACAAGTATAAATTTGTCGAAAATATCCCATTAGTAATATAACTTTTCCTACGAATTTTTTTTCCATTGAAAATATAAATTTTTCGATAAATTTATATCTGTCAAAATTTACTGACAGATAAATCCGTCAAAAATTATCGACGGATATATCCGTCAGAAATATAAATTTTTTGACAAATTTGTATCCGTTGGAAATTATCTATCGAAAATATAAATTTTCTGACAAATTTGTATCCATCGAAAATGTAAATTTTTTGACAGATTTGTATCTGTCAAAAATTATCTGTCGGTAATATAACTTTTCCGATGAATTTTTTTCTGTCGATAAAACACATCGAATATTTAGATATTTGGATCGATAAGCATGCATGGTTGTGCTTGAAGGAAGCACACCCGTGCAAAAGGTACCACAACCGTGCTTGAAGGAAGCATGCCTATGCAAGAGGTACCACAATCGTGCTTAAGTAAGCACATTCGTGCCTGGCCAAAACCATGACCATGCTTAATTAAGCACGCCTATGCATGTTGAATTTTAGTGAAGCACGATCGTGTTTATTCTATGCATGGTCGTGGATCCTTTTAAAATTTGAATTATTTTTGATGTCTTCATAAGAATTGTAGTCTTAGATGTTAGCTCTTCAATGACACTAGAATCACCCAAGAAGGAGGTCTAAATCTCAAGTTATGCATAAATTAATGAGCAAAAATCAAGTTGTTAGAATTACGCTAAAATACCGTGGTATTGTAACTTTTAAAAATACTAGAAGATAAAATCAACTCTTGAAGTCAACATAGAAGTTATAGATAATTATCTTATCTTGCTAATAAAATTAAGATCAACTTGGTAACATAGATACATCTCTAAATAGCGCGTATAAGCCACATGGCGTCATAAAAGGTTAAGATGAAAATAAAGGGTTTGTGTGTTGTTTTATTCCTTGAGTGCTTAATTTTGAGACTTTATGCCTACATGTGATATAAAGCATGGATTTTCAATTGAGAATGATATGTATATAATGTTATGTTGTGTGATGATGTTATGATGATGATGTATAATGCTATATGCTGCATGAAATGAATGATGATGTGATGTAATGGTGAGTTGTAATGAAGCATATTGTGATGAGATATGGTTGGATTGATGTATGAAGAGTTATGATGAGATATTATCGAGTCATTGTGATGAATGTTGTAACAATCAGATATGATAAATAAGTCCAGTGATGCGAGCTAACACTCGAGGAGTTAATAATGCATTTATGTGGTTGAGTTGATTATTTGAGTACATGCATACCATGATTTATTTTGTGGGATACAGTGTGAGCCTATACAAGTGGGATATCAAAGGCCATTTACCTATGACTTAGGGAATGTTATGGTGGGGAAACCTCTATCAAGAATAATGGATGGTTATCATGGTCAGTTGTAACACTTCGACAGGACCTTGATAGACATCTTCTAGTGAGGTGATTCGGGAGGATCATTGTTGTGGAGTAGTCCCTACACTATTCAGTGGGGTGGTCCTGTTTCACTACTCTTAGACTATTCTATATACTCGATGATGATAAAGAGATTGGTACTACATGCATGTAGAGTTAAGAACATACATCACATGAGTCTTAATTGATGAATATGATGTATTTGTGATTGATAGAATGGTGATAAATGCAATGTAATATGTTAACTTGTTATTAATATTGTATGAGAGGAATTGATGAAAGAGTATGCATATGATGTAATTGTTGTATAAATTATGTGTGTGTGAGGTTATCCTTATGTTTCATATGTATTGTGATAGATGAAAGGTATTCTCACCCCTTGTGTTTGTATGTTGTGTTTGGGCTAATGTCGTCATTTGTAGGAATAGAGTAGATACAAGATGATGAATTTGAGGAAAGAGAACAATAAAAAAGAATATTACTAAAAAGTGTGACATTGGAACTGAGTTCTAGGATATATTTGTTTAAGTTGGATTTAATTTAAACTATTTTATTATAATAACTTATTTGATTTAAGAAGATGTTTTATTTGATTTAATTTGTTTTATTACCTTTGAAAAGATGCTTTATAAGTTTTTATTTTAAGCA